CATAGCGTTCCTTGACAATGTCGTTTCTAAGTCACCAATTTAGTGCTACTTGGTCCCAATGGAATTTCCCATTGGGAACCTACTAGCACTAAGTTGCTAACTGGTTAGCAAGATGCTTCCGACAAATCGGCCACAAACAAAGTTGCTTGCGAACCTTCCGCCACAACAATCCCGCCCCCTTGATAAACGTCCAATCACATTCACTTTATTCACTCGTGTAAAGTCGTGCACCCCTCTGCAGAATTCGGAAATGCAACATTTGGAACAACCGCCTCCGTACGACTTTAACGTTGAATAGTTTTAGCCATTATTTGCCTGAACTGTTGCACCTCTATATTCCTTCGCCTGCTTTTAAAATGTTGATAAATCCTGAGGAGACAGAATCTCTGTAGCTTTTATCTTTTTTTTTTTTTCCTGAAAATATAGATTTATTTAAAATCAAATGACGTAAAGATGATTGAATCTCATATTCTCTCCCTGCAGCCACTGGGTCGTCTGGGAGCCACTGTGTTGGGTATAGATCCAGTAGAAGACAGCATCCGCATCGCCCAGCTGCATTCGTCACACGACCCAGACCTTCGAGATCGGGTGTCCTACCGGGCCTGCACCCTGGAGGAGCTTTCAGGCGACGGGGAGGCAAAGCAGGAGGAACAGACGGAGACCCAGTTTGACGCCATTGTGGCGTCTGAAGTTGTGGAGCATCTGGCTGACTTGGAAACATTCGCCATCTGCTGCAGTCACGTTCTGAAGGTGCGTCTTGTCGCGAGCAAGTCTCCTGTGTATTTTTATCATTTCATCATTGCATGTTCTCTGCGTTGTTGCCCTGGGAAAGTATGTGTGTGGTTTGGAGCTAGCATTAACAAGCAACAGTGAAGGTTGTGTGTTGGTGCTGGCTCAAAAAACAAAGCGAGAACATTTAACTGGCAAGAAAATACAGTGTTTTACGTGGGAAAAAATGATAAAGCAGTGACAACGACTCAACAGAACATCGTTAAAGAGAATAAAATTGAATCATTATAACAATTATATTAAAATAGATCACATTATTGAAATATTTAAGAAAAATTAAGAATCTTCTTTGGTTGCTGCATTATTTGGGGAGTGTTGACCACCAATTATGTTGTTTTTTCAAATTTTGATTCTTCTTTTCGAGCCATAAGATTAAAAGAAAGAGGGGAAAAAAAGGAATGATAGTTATTTGTAGCAGTCCTGTCTTAGCAGCTGTTACGTAGGTCAGTTTCCAGTTTCAAAACAAAATGAAAAATACAACTTTAAACCATCTTTGGAGCATCGTACATTAGCTATTAGCATTGTTAGCATGGCTAGCTGAAGTTTGGGTTTATATTCCGGAGAAATTCAGTGCTTACCTTGACTTAAGGTCGTTGGAATTTTTTAATCAAGCATCTTTTTCCAAGTAAAAGGCTAAATTCAAATAATTGTTGCTCCTAGCTCGCGCTCCTAGCTTCTGTTCCTTCACCTTTCATGTGATCAACAGTTAGAATGGTATTATTTGCAAGGAAAGGAACTTTAGACTGTGTATCTGAACATCCTTTAGCTTTCCTGGTGTCGTTGATTATGTTAGTCAATTAGAAACTGAAGCTTTCA